CAAAGATTTTATTTATTTTATTGTAAGACATATAGAAAAAACTTGCATATTTTGAAAAAGATAGAAAATGGTAATAAAATGGACACTTTCCTTATTAAGAAATATGTCCATAAATATGTTTTATCAAATGTTAAAATGGTTATATGCAAATAATAAATAGAGCAAAGCTGTGACATGCAAGGGTCAAAAAATTTTTGTTTATACATTTCTCTCTTTACCTTCTTAAAAATATACTCAGTAGGGATAGTACACATAACTTTCTCTTTGGTTTAGTAAGTTTTAGGTCATTGGGGATTTTTTTTAAATTTTAATTTTATATTTCAATCTATAAAAACAGCATTGCAGCTAACTCTGTGCTTGATTATTTAGTATTCATTCAATATTAAACACCTAATAAGTACAAGACAGTGAATGGCACACAAAGGGCCTATAAATGTGAATAGAATAATGTACTGTAAAAGCATGAATACAAGAGAAAAAGAAATGCAATAGAACTGCATGAATAAGTCCATGAAAAATGTACCTTAGCAAGCAGAATGGATAGTCCCTATCTGAGCACAGACATCTTGAAGAAATGAAAACTGGAGGATTAACAGGAAAACATCATATAGGAAATGGAAGGTATGAGTAGAGACAAAGCGAGTTGGTAATAAAAGTATTTCTAGAGAGTGTACTGTGCTTCCAGGTATTGAAAAAGCAGGGGAAAAGGAAGAAATGCAGGAAACAATTTTGTATTAAGCTTAAGGGACTAAAAACTGAGTGCAGTAACTAGATACTCATACGAGGCATTATTGTTAAGAAATGAGAACTGGAAATAGGACAGGAGACAGGCTAGAATAGTCTTCATTCTCTGCAAAGCTTGGACCTTATAAACTGAGGGTACTGAGGAGTCAGGGAAATACGTGAAGGAGAGAAATCCCACGGTGACCTTTTCAAGGCAGTGATAACCTACCTGCACACATGTGGATCATGCAGTGGGCTGCGGAACACTGGAAAGGAAAGACTTACAAGAGGCTGATACTTTGGGTGAGAGACAAGGTAGTTGTCAGCTAGGCAACAAGCGAGGCCCAGTCTCTGGAGGTGAGAAGACAGTTCTACTTCTATAAATATTTAGGAGGTGAAATTGACAAGACCTGATTATGGTTGAATATGAATCATAGGAAAAAATGAAAAGCAAATCTGAAGCACCTGTGAGGTGCTTCAAAGTGATTGTTGTTGCACCAGCAGGAGCAAGAATGTAAGAGGCCAATGGGGTCTTATGTGGAAAAAGATTCAATTTTTGTAATGGTAAAATTTATTTTATGTCAGACATGGCCACAGAGAGGCTTAGATACACAAACAAAAATCTGAAGTTGAGGAAAACAATATAGATTTGTGAGTCATGAACATATTGGGAGTTATAGGAACTATAGCTCAATTGAACAGAATGGGAAGAAGAGAGATGGAAACAGTAATCACACATTGCTACGGGACTTTCTAGTCCTAGCTGCTGTTTGTGTCAACACTAGAGTCATCCTTTTGTAGTTATTGGCAGCTCACCGGTTCATGGCTCAGTTTCTTCCTTTGTAGTCCAAGCCAGCAGTCATGGCGGATAGTTCATCTAACACTCTAGTCTCTGTTTCTCCATCAGCTTTGAAGTGCTTTACAGACTCTTTAGTTTCAGGAATCTAAATGCACACACCTGTAACTTTTCCTCCCCTGCCTTACTTCTAAACATTTAGGCGTGGCTTCCAATTTGTGAATACTTCACACTCAAACTCACTCATGCCCATATTTCCACTCTCCTTTAACCTAGTTAAGATATCTCGCTGCTTTATCCTCCTCTTACTCAAATGCTCTCTAGTACATTCTCTTCATTGTTCCTTCCTTTTTTACAGATCCATGTGAGCCAAAGTCTAGCATACCAATAATCATTTTGCAAAGACAGAAAATTACTGTGGGAAGGAAAAAGAATCAAAATGCAATATGTATATGTGCAATCTCCCATTATTAATGTATTATTATGTATTATAAACACAAAATAACAATAGAAAGCTACTGACACTCAAGAAAAAAATTTCCTGGCTGTCCTTTTCTATATGTAATTACCCATACCTGAGTGTTATTGTATTTACTTCTTTAGTAAAGACATATACTGCTTATATGTTACTATAATTTATAGTTTCTCACTTTTATCTATCTTAATTCTCATAAAGTCAGTGAGGCAAACACATCTAGGTTGTTCCCTGAAGCCAACCTAAATAAAATTCTTCTCTTTTGTGATTTTTTTCTGTGAGATGAATTGCTCTGCTGTGAGAATGTTTGAAATATCCCAAAAAGAGAGACCACCTTCCCACAGTGACGTTGAAGCCCTTGCCTTAGAGAGCACGGCCTTCCCACGTGAGGGGCATAAACATGGCTTCAGAGGCACTCAGCCTTCAATCTGAGCTGACCAGAAGCAGCCTCTGACAGCATGGAAAAAGATACCCTTTGTTCCAGTGACCAGTCTATTCTTAACCCTAGTGAATGCTGTTCCCTCCTGAATTTTACTTGGATCTTTGACATCATTGATGCAGACAACCAAATGTTCTGTCTTTAAGTATTGCCTGTTTATGGTACCTGCACCACCACTGTATGCTCTCTTGTCCTTATATTCTTTGCTCACACTTGAGGGCTCTTCTATCTTTCGCACTCCTTAGGGCTCTGTCCCAAACCTTGTCCTGGCCAGTGGTCTTCAGTGAGGAGTGCAGCATTAGAACAACTATTCCAAATGATCTCTCCTCCATGACTTCACTTGTTTCTTATGTATCAATATCTTCTAAGCTCAGATATCTCTTCTGTGCTTCTAAAATATAGCATCAGTCTATTAACTAGGCTTTAGAAATACCCTATGGGATTTTGAAAACTATTTATTTATTTTGTACAGGGTCTTGCTATGCAGCTTAGATCTGCAGTGACACTCCTGTCTCAGCCTCCCTCGAACTGGGATTACAAGCACATGCCACCGTGCCTGGTTTTGATGGTCGGCATGGCATGCCCAGGGTTCCAGGGCTGACAAAGAATGAGGTACTGGGGATGGAACCTGGATCCTCGTACTTGCCAGGCAGGTGCTTAGACCACTGAGCTACCTCCCCAGCCCTCTGGTATGTTTTATAGATACCTCAAACCCAATATGCACCAAAATGACTGTGTGATCTCTATTGTATTTACTTTCTCTAAGTTTTTTATACTTCAAAGAGATCAACAGCCAATACAGGTAATTTCTTAACCCAGAAGTATAGGATAAAACTTTGTCTCCTTTTTTTTCCTCTATTACCAACCCCTCCATTACTGGACGTATAGTTGTTAAGTTCTCTTGGTTCCACCTATCAATCACCTTCTATTGTCTCTCAATTGCACCCTGCCACTGTAACACTTGGTTCAGTTACTATGATAGCCTTCTAATCTTTCCCAATGCCCACCCTGCCTTTATTCAGTCTGTACTCCATATTATAGCCAGAATATTATAATAGTAAAAAAAAAATTAAGCATGTGTTTTGCTGAATAGTTTTAAAAAGCTAAAATGACTTCCACAAATATCAGTTTGAACTACTGATAACAGCTGTATCTTTAACCTCAGCCTTCTCTGCATAGTCTACCCTAATTTATGTATCACTTTCTCGTTTAAAATTCTACCCCAATTATTTATGTCTCCATTCTCTTTCAGCAAGTTATTTGCATAGTAAAATCTGTCTCTGTTTACACAGTAGGAAGTCCCAGATCCTTCTTCGTCACATTGAAGCATACTGGGCCTTCCTCCTTCCATGGCTGCTTGACAGCTTGTGCTTACCCCATCACAGAACTTTCTACTTCTAACTGTGATTCATTGTTCACGTGTCTGTTTCCCACTAGTTTTGTGGCTCAATGATCGTAAAGTGGCTCTAAGTTGTCATTGTATATAAAGCTTAGCAAGATTCTACTTAAGTGTTCATTAAATATTTTCTTATTCAATGGTGTAGTATTGAATGAGCTGAAAGGGTCTGTGATGAATACAGCCACTGTTAATATTTGTCTGTGGCCTGAAAACAAGAGAGAAAGAGAAAAGAATGCACATAAAGTTTTAAGGGATAGATTAGAAATAAGGATGTAGAGATGAAGAGACTAGACAAATTCTTGATTATTAAAATGAAACTAAAATAAACAGTGGTTAATGGATGGGCCAATAGCAAGTGGGAACAAAAATTTAAATGCTATTGAGAGTTATGAACATTAAAGCAAAAGTGTCATATGTATATATTTAAAGACAGATTTCTCCCATTAATTTATAGGCTGAATTTGCAAAAGAATTTCCACACTATTTCAGTTTTTATGATGGCAGTAGTCTCAAATAAGGAATATAAAATATCTTATTCTATTCTAAAACAGTGAGAATTAACCAGACAAGTTTAAAGAACAAAGCAGATTGGAAATTGAATAACAAGGAAAAGACATTTTTAGTATGAGATTATACGATAAATCATGACTTTATAAAGATTATATTTTAAAATGAAAGATAAAATATAAGGTTTTTTAAAATCAAAGTCTTAAATTAATCATATCTTTTCAGTGGTAATGAATCTTCTTAATACATGATATAATGTTTCTGAACAAGGAACAAGTACTATCTTCTCTTATATACATAAACAATTAAACACTACTCTTTCTAATAGCAAGTAGTTTCTTTCTACTAACACTATTTCCTCCGAGAATTAGATTTTGGGGAGAAAATCTGATCTTGCAGTGTGTTCTGAATCTTATCTCAACATTCACATTTGCTTCTGTAAATGAAACAACTTATATCAAAAGACAAGAACCATCACTGCTGGATGCCTGCTGTGCTGGAGATCCACTAGAAGAAAGATGGAATGTCCTTTCCTGAGCTTTGCTCCTGTGAGGATCCTTCAGAACACTGATGGGCATCAGATAGAGCTCTCTTAACCAAATGCATGGGTTTTGAAATGTCATATTCCCTTTTTATATTAAAATATAATTTCTCTCCTTACCTTGTTGTACAAATGATCCATACACAAACCACATGGAGTTGTAGAGAGTCGTAGAGGTCATCGATCCCATTTGTAATCTTGGGGGATTCAACCAGTTCAAGAGGTAGACCAGTAGACCCACCAAAAGCACTGTGCCAGCAATGCAGGCCCATAGAGAGAGATCAAAGGGCGCGAGACAGGCAAACATGTCCACCGTCTTCTCTGCCCTTCGAAGGAGGACTCCCACTGAGTAGTCCATGTAACGGGTTGTAAAGTCCACCACATTCTCTCGATCTGGAGTGATGGTCAAGGCAGAAATCCCTATGTCGGCTCTCTGAGAAATTGAAAGAGAAAGAAATACATTAATAGTGTGAAAAACAATTTGAATTGTGACACTTCTTCTTGCCTAGAGGGAAAAAAAATAGATGCTTCAGGCAACATCCTAAGTCTTTTTATATAAACTGAAAATACTACAGAGATTTCTTATAGAGGAGTTATATGTGAATTTTTACATTTATTAATGAAAATCTTGCCCTGCTGGAGTCAAATAAATCACCTTGTTTATATTGTATATCAAATCAGTGGATAATACCTCAGATACAGGCAACACAAAGAAAACAAAGAAAACTCTTTTTCCCTTAAGTCATTTTACCACAGCCATTGTTAACACAGTAGCAGAGAAAAACTTGAAAAACTTATCTATGAAAATGTTATTCTATATATTTTTAAATTTTATTTTGTTTTTGTGGTGTTGGGGGTTCAAACCTAGGCATACCTCCTCACACATGCCAGGCATATGCTCCAACAGTGAGCTACTTCCCAACCTAATAGGCCCTCAACATGCAAATTATTAAGTAGGTCACTTAGCAACTAATTTGAAGACAGCATCATGTAATGCAGCAAACATTGTTAAATTCCTATCACTTCAGTGAAATTTTGTATCATTTTTAATGCTGTTTTTTTTCTATCACTATTTTGTATTCTTTAAAAAATAAATTCAAAAAACTTTAATGTGACACTTTACTCTTGGTTTGAATTTCTCTTCAGAAAAATTACATCATTAGGCTCTAAATATATTAGAGTTTGTTAGCGATCTTGCAGCAGAAGGTTGTAATGTCACAGGCCAGAAGTCCTCAGCATGATTCTGTTGCATACACTTCAGATCCATTTCGGTAAACAATTAATAGCTAAGAAGAGGGAATTTTTCTTGTTATTGTATGCTCTTTCCTCATTGTGTCTCTTCAGATTTGCTGTGACATTACTCACAATTGTAGCATATTTATGTTACTTATTTATTTTTAAGAATAACACTAAAACACAGAATCAATGAGCATTTAAATTATAAGAGGTGGGCCGCGGAGATGGCTCAGTAGGATAAGCACTTCCCTGGCAAGCGCAAGGGTCTGAGTTCAATCCCTGGTTCCACCAAAAAATAAAAAAAATAAATTGTAAGAGGTGAGATAGATATTTAAATATCTAAAAGATGCATCTTATTTGAAATAATGTTCTATTGCTACGATTAAAGCTGTGGGAAGACTGTTCCAGAAAAATACAAACACTAGTATGTTTTATATTGAACATTTTCTAGTTATTTTTCTTTTATTGTTTTATGAAAGAGGATGGAAATTTATTTTATAGTTTTTGAGTATCAAGAAGAAAAAGCCATGGAAAGTAACATGCTCGCAGAATGTAAATCAGCTTAGGTATGGCTAACCTCCGAAGTCATAATGCTGTGAAAATATTCTAGCAGAGCCAAACAGTGTGTGGTGAATGTGGGCACATCCAGAAGCTCAGCCTATGCTCATTTGTTTATAGGCCCAGTGCTAGGAACTGTTATAATTCTTTCACTTAATCCTGACAATGAACTATGGATTTGTATTTTTTCTCCATTTCGTAAGTGCAGAAGTTTAATAAGCTTATTATCTAGCTTTTAGTTTTAGTTTCTCCAGTTAGGAAACAAGTGTTTTAAATTTAGCTTTTTAAAAATTATACCCTTTAGGGGCCAGGGAGATGGCTCAGTTGAATAAGCGCTTGCCTGGCAAGCCCAAGGACCTGAGTTCAATCCCTGGTTCTGAAAAAAATATATATATATCTTGAAAGCCAACATTTTGGCCCTAACCTTCTAAGGTCAGTTAAGACTCAGGACATATGAGAACTTGTACTGTAATGTCATGTACCTCGGTAATGTCCCAAATTTTCTGATCAAGAAGATTATGGGGTCAAAGAGGAAAGTGATTGATGATGTAGAGTGTGACTGAGAGTCACATGGAGAGAAAACACTCTCTCAGGCTTTCACAGAGAGCACATTGGCCAAGCAATGGCCATGACTCATCCACATGGCTGACACTGACAGAGGTTCTACAATCTGAGGTACAGGATCTCACGATAAATCCTGAGGGGATTTCACTGACCTTCTCAGACCAAAAAACTACAACTCTTATTGCATAGGTCCTGCTTTACCTTGGTCTTAACCATCCAGTAGAAAAGTATGAAGATGAAATATAGGAAGTAAAGCCATGCTGTTATGTTGAGCTGTGGGGGACTCAGGTCAATAATTTCTGACATTGCCAGTTAAACAGAAGACCCAATGCTATTATGGGCTACTGGACTCTTTTAGAATATTTTGCTGAGTTTTCACACCTATAATATTCAAATAACGGAACTTCGAAAAAAAGGGGTATACAGTTGAATGTCCATTTTGTGTTTGTGTATTCAAAGTGGTTAGGATAGATATATAGTTACATTCTCTTAATGAATAGAATGATTTGTTCTAATGGTGTTTGTAAATAGGATCTCAAGTCCGCATCTTGTACAGCAATTAAGCACTAAGAAGAATATATGCAGTGTGTTGGTTGTTGAAGCTGTACTACCGATTTGGTTTGAAACTGTCTCATTGCTATCTGTTTATCAATAAAATTTTGAAAAAAAAAGAAAAAAATTATACCCTTTATATTGCTATAGGCCCATATAAATATATGAACTACAATAAGTTTAGAATTATTAATTAAATCAGAGTTATTAGTTATTAATTTTTATTTTGTTTGCTTTAGTTTACTTTTTTTCTTTATAGTTGATGCTAAGAATTTGGTATTTTTACATGGAAAATGAAACCTGGCCTCTTAGCTTTCTAGCCCTGTCTCCAGTGGGTTTAGGCTTATTTATTTGTGAGATGAATGTAACTGTTCAATATCATTATCATGAGCTGACTCATTTATCTCTATCATAAAGATGAGTGAATAACTCTTTAAGATCCAATTACACTCTCCACACATGCCTTTCCTCTTTTGAGACAATAACCTCATATGGATCAATAACTTTCCTTTTATACGCCTAGTTATATTAATATATGCTGATGATACATCATAGATATAATCATCCCCATGCGTGAGACCTTCGGCGGCACACTTAGGACTGCTCAAGCTCTCCAGGACCAGCCCAAGCCCAGGCCTGGCGAGTATTGCACCAAAGCTTTACAGCACAGTCCCAAGGACAGTGCTGCACAAAATGATAAAGAGAAGGAGCAAAATGCAATCTCAGGTCCCAAGCCCCCACAGACCAAGTGCCAAGGATGCTAGCACAGAACAAATTGGGAATCACACAGCTGAAATGTCTGAATCACTAGCGTCTGAAGTAAAGAAACAACTTCAGAAATGTATAGAGGAACTCAAATCAGAAATAACTTCTGAAATAAAAAAGCAATCTATAAATTAATAGCATCTGAAGTAAAAAATCAAATGCAGAAACACACAGAAGAAATAAGATCAGAAATCATCTCCTTAGTAAAAGAATTGATAACTGCTTCTCAAAAAAACCTGATAATAAATAAAGTAGATTAGAAAAATAACAGATTCCTTGAATGAGCAATACAGGAAAGAAATAGATTGCATGAAGCAGAGTCAAAGAGATATAGAGGAAATTAAAATCTCAGTCACAAGCCTGCAAAATCATTTGAGTGAAAGTGAAGATAGAATTTCAGATCTTGAAGACACTGTTGCAGCTAGTGAAAAGGTCAGAAAGGATCCCTTAAAAACAACTAGCATGCAGGAAAAAAATAATTCACCACTTGAAAGATGGTGGAATGATGTACAATGTGAGACTAATAGGCATCAATGAGAAAGAAGGAGTCAATACAAATGATATAAAAAGGATATGGGCAGAACTAATAGCAGAAAACTTCCCAAATATGAGGAAACAATCTGGCATTCAGGAAATTGAAGCATATAGAACTCCAAATCACTTCAACGCAATTTAAAACAGATAGAGACATATAATAGTCAAGATTCCAGAAATCCAGCACAAGAATAATACATTGAAAGTCCCTAGAGAGAAGAAACAGATCACATTCAAAGGAAAACCCATCAGAATTACAGCCTACTTCTCTTCACAAACCATGGAGACAAGAAGAGCATGGAACAGAGTACTTCAAGCCCTGTATAAAAACAAATTCCAGCCAAGATTACTATACTCTGCAAAAGTCTCTTTCAAGTTCATTGGAGAAGTGAAATACTTCCATGACAAAGAACAACTAAGAATTTCATGATGACAAAGCCAGCCTTACACAGACTACTGAAAGATGTTCTAGAGAGGGACCAAAATGATCAGAACTCCACAAACGAGAACAGAAGGAACCCACTAAATAGGGCAATCAACTAAACACAGGATAAAAAGGAATAAGCAACAGTAGATAAATAAAATGTCAATAGTAAGTCAGTACACCTAAGTTATAACCATCAATGTAAATGGACTCAATTCACCAATTAAAAGAAATAGACTGGCACAGTGGATCAGGAAACAAAATCCAACAATATGCTGTATAAAAGAAACACTCTTAACTCATAAGGAAATTCATAGGCTGAAAGTCTTTTGACTTTTCATCCTTTGTTGGAAAACAATGCTACACACCACAGCATCTCAGAATAAAGTGGAGGTAGCAATCCTGTTCTCAGATAGTCTCGACATTAAGGCAAGAATGATCAAACGAAATAAAGAAGGCCACTATATACTGGTTAGGGGAAAAATTAATGAGTAAGAGGTAACATGCATAAATGTGTATGCACCAAACACAGGAGCACCCAAGTATGTAAGACTAATCTTAATGGACATGAAAAATCTAATATCCAATACCACAATCTTAACAGGAGACCTTAACACCCACTTATCCCTAAATGATAGGTCAAGCAGACAAAAAGTTAGCAAATTAGTAGAACTTAACCAGAGCTTGGAACAAATGGCCTTAGTGGACATATACAGAGTGTTTCACCCAAACACAGCTGAATACACATTCCCTTCAGCTGCACATGGGTTATTTTCTAAAATAAACCACATACTAGTCCA